CCAACTGCCCCCTGATAATGTATTCCCTCAGAGACAATACCAACTGCCCCCTGATAATGTATTCCCTCAGAGAGATCACGTTAAATGCCCCCACACTCTGCCTATTCCCTCAGAAAGGCTGCCATTTGAGCCCCTGATAATCTGATTCTCCCCAGAGACCCTGAAAGGTGACCCCCTCCCCAATAAAGCCCTTCTCACCCTCAGTCACACACGCACTGGCTGAAGATGAGCTCAGTTTATGGAGAGCTGTCTATGGATATAATATATTGACATTATTTACCTGCAGTGGATCTCCTCGCACAGCGCCATTCTCGCGCAGCCAGTGAAGGCCCCTCGTGGGCGGGGCGCCACAATCACGTGACATCGGGCACCGCCCGTCTCCCTCCCGCACTCTGTCTGCGCGGTGTCACGTGAAGTCTGGAGGCCGCACGCGCTCACGCACGCGTCCTGCTCGCGATCCCCGACGTTACTGACACGTCATCCGTCAGACTCAAAGCCCCACAGGCTGACAGCCTCTTGCAGTGAGGGCTGGGACCGCACAGGCTCCCTCTGCTGGCCGGCCCTGTGTATGACTATCCCAGCTTGGGAATGGCCGAAATGATTGGCACTGTAGTTAAATGGGGGGGTTTCTGCTGGTCTGGAGAATCTTTTAATATGCAATATGCTAATAAGTGGGGCTAACTAATCTTTACTCCCCCTATTTCCAATTTACTGAACGCAATGGGGCCATAATAAATGTATCTATAGAGTTATTCTCCATTCTCAACTCAAAGTGGATTTTATATTTTATTATCCCATAAAAGCTCCTACGAAAGCATAGCTGTGTCCGCCCAAGGGGCCCTGTTTAGGAGGGACAGTCCTGACTTTGGGCCCAAATCTGGTTGGTGTATATCAGCGCTCCACCGCAATAATACTCGTTTAGAAATCAGATACTTTGTTCTTGTTCTAAATGGCATTTTAGTTCTATAAATTGTTATTAGTAAAGTCACCTAAAACTTCACGGCCCAGGCCCTGGTCACACACCCTGAAACTAAAGTATTTTGTATTTGAATTATTGGGAGTTATGTTAAGCTGTGTTGGAAAAGAATATCAATTCAACTATTTTGGCTTTACATTTGAAATTGACTTTAAAGAAACGACAATTTTTTTATAAATAAACCGGTTCGTTTCTGGTCCGATGTTTTGGCCCTAAAAAGTGAAATTTAGTTCATATTTAAAATAGGTGACACTTTAGTGAATAATCTAGTATCTTTTTGCACATTTCCTCTCGTAGCAATAATGGATAAAACAAAAAGTGTAGATAAAATGGCAAACATTAACAAAATACATAAATACAATAAAATTTGTTTAAAGGACCACTATAGTGCCAGGAAAACATACTTGTTTTCCTGGAACTATAGTGCCCTGAGGGTGCCCCCACCCTCAGGGTCCCACTCCCGCCCGGCTCTGTGGAGAGGAAAGGGTTAAAAAAAATGTACCTTTTTTCCAGCGCTTATTTACAATGCTTTCCTATAGACGCTTGCATCTTCTCACTGTGATTTTCACAGTCAGAAGCACGCAAACGCCTCTAGCGGCTGTCAATGAGACAGCCACTAGAGGATTTGGAGGCTGGATTAACCCATTTATAAACATAGCAGTTTCTCTGAAACTGCTTTGTTTATTAAAAAAATGGACCAGGCACCCAGACCACTTCATTAAGCTGAAGTGGTCTGGGTGCCTAGAGTGTTCCTTTAAAGACCAAACTTCTGGAACAAAATGGAATCATGACATGTCATACATGTCATGTGTCCTTAAGGGGTTAACAGGGTCTAAAGAGCAATGCAGGACAAACGTAGCTTGTTTGGAAAAACTGCAACTTACATATAACTTAATCGGCATAAAGCTGCAAGGACAGCGTCAAAACACCACAACCCCTTCAATAAGCTGAACTGGTTATGGTACCTAGTATATCCCTTTAAATCCTGTTTACTTCATAGAGTTAATATTGCATTAAGATAAGTGTTTGCCATCTTTGCAGCAATCTCCTTTTTGTAGTGGTTTTCATTTTTAGGATATATATTAAGGTCTTCCTTATGGTGAGTGTGGTAACTGCTAATAATCTGGTAATGGGTGCATTATAGTCCTTCCTGCGGAGTTCCTAGTAAGAAAATGCACTATATTACATACTACTCTGCATTCTGAGGCTAGCACTTACCCCCTGTGTGCATAGATTGATGTACATTATATTGTAGTTGTAACGTTCCCATCTATACTGTGGTGGTGACTATAAATTTGCCTTTATTTTTATTGATGAACGTTACAAATCAGTTCCTACAGCAGTTTTTAATCATGCAATAATTCTCCTTTAATGTCCACACATGTTCCTTGTTAGGGCAACGATCATGTTTATTGCACATTAAATATTTCACTTATAGAGGGCGACGCTAACAGAGTTACATTCTGGAGGTTATTAGAGACAAATGTCTGACATTTCAGGTTCTAGAAGGTAAATACAGTGTGACAATCTGTGATGTAAACACTCTGCATCCGACTATACGATGTTTGGACCCTTAAAGTGAAGCTACAGGTATTCCCCACACATTAGATGCAATATGTAGGTTAGGTTACAGCTATGTGCGGGTTTTTACAGGATGCAAAGTGCTCATTTTACAGAATAATTTCGATGTATGGTCCTATTCTTTTACCCATATTTCCCAATCTGCAATGTTACCCTTTATGCTCCAAAAACACAGCCATAAACGATGTCATGAATTAGGTTTTTAACTCCTTAAGGACACAACTTCTGAAATATAAGGGAATCATGACGGAATATTTCCGTCATGTATCCTTGAGGTATTAAGAGGCTGGCAATTTTACTAAATCTCCCATAATTCCTTGCTGTGATCACAGAACACTACCATAGAATGTATAGTAAGGAGCATCAGTCACTTCCTGGTCTGCTCATAGGTCTCTTCGAGTCCTGCACTGTCGAGAGTATTTGCAGGAAATGCAAGAACATCAAATGTGACTCTCTTATTTTTTTTTACATTTAATATCATTTATTGTTTCGCATACATAAATGAATTATCTATCTAATACATTATGAAGAATGGGTCAGATGTACCCTGGAGTGTCCTTTGAATGCCTACCAGAGACATATTTATACACTGACAGAGAGAGAAATACTCCTATCGCAGAAGAACAGATCAAAGAGGGGTATTGTATTTGACTACAGGGTAGATATAAAGTTCTTATGATTCCATTCACCATTGAAATAAAACATGTATTTATTGTTTATAGTTTTACATACAGTACAATATAAAATCTCATTCAGCGATCACTGTAATGAGTATGGCGTACATGCGGAGAATGTTGGTCTGACAGTTTTTACATACAGGAAACTGAGCAGTCAGACTGCAAGGACATGATCTATACACCAAAACCGCTTCATTAAGCCAAAGTGGTTTAGGCGACTATATTGTCCCTTTAACACAGCTCCTTGGGATTTTCTTAATTTCTCTCCCTAAATTATATGAATGAAACATACTGCAAAGCATTTTTTTTTTCTCCTATTTTTGTCAACAGTATCAATTGGTGAAATATCTCCAGCAAAACAGGGTGGAAACGGCAATCCCACCTATAATACAAATTTGCTATTTATGTGTATGTAGAGGGTGCAGTAGTGGAGTGATAGGCAGTGTAAGTACATATGTCCTATATTATGTAAGATTTGAAAATTGATTAATGTGATAGTAATATTTTTCTTCTGGTGAAAGGAGTAGGTGGAATCCTATCTTTGTGAAAACCTCACGTTCGTCTTGACACAGCTATACAATATATCATGCCATGCTATCACAAGAACATGTGACACATAACGTATTGCATTCAGATTCCACGCACCAATGTGTGGGAGTCAGTAAAATATCGCCAACAAAGCTAGTACAGAATGATGTAAAAATTCAAGCAACAAATAAATATGTTCAGATAAAAGGCAGTTTTTATTTATAGCAGAATGGGAATAAAAATAAAAAAAATACAGAACGTGTAAAAATTGATCATCAACAAGATTCTCATATGTGGAAAAGGCCTTCAAACAAATAACGTTATCTCATACCATGCTGCGAGTGGTGTAGACAAATACTTTGAATATCTTTTGAGGGATTTTTTTTTTTTTGATCAGTGAACTGTACAAATTGAACAAAAAAGTTTTCTAAAATTTGTTTGAGATATTTTTGGTTTGCTTCTGTCAGCTGTGAAATCAAATGTTTAGCCAAGAAAAACTAAAGTACAATGAATGTTTTATTGCATTAATTGCACAACAAACTCTTTCTTGTCCCGAGCTGTATTTATTTTACTTTTTCTGGCTTTTTATCAGTGTGATTAAAGGGACACCATACTTTTTTTGGTGCTTAGTGTTTCCCTTTAAACCATTTCGCCTAAGTATCATGCAATGCGCTGTACCTGGAACAATTTCTGTGCTTGTCCCTCTGGGGCACACACATACTAACAGAGTTGTGGTGGGAAAAAAAGTGTGGATGAAAACCCCTTCCACCTGAAGTAAGTGGATAGTTAATATAATGTTAAACACAAATACACATACCAGACAAGCCATAAGACTTGCTTTTCCCACAGAAATTTCACTTTAACAGTGCTCTCACTATTGCAAGGGATTCTGGGTAGGCGTATGCAAATTAACTCAACAAAGAACCACCTTTTTTGTCTCATAATTCCACTTTATACATGGATTCCTTGGAGTATGTGCATGCTGTATACAACAGCTTTGAAACACAACTCGGGAAGAGGAGCAGAGCCAGTGAACCACTCATGGACAGCTGTTTTGTTGTTAATGCAACGCATCTCACATCTTTCATTCATGAAGACGCCAGGGGGCATGGTGTAATACCCTATCTGTCTTGGATACATGCCAAATAAATGACCTTGGGGTGAACTAATCTATTAGGTAGATGATTTCTGTGCTAACATTACATGTGTACAAACACAGGAGTGAATCACTGTAAGATGTATATGGGAAACTTGCCAGCACTGGAAGCCCTGCCAACTAGGAGAGAGAGAATGGGGAATGTAAATTACTGAGCTCTGAGAAGCGAATGAAATCTATATCCTGGATAGAAGCTGCTGTATGTTTTCTTTTTAATAGATGACAATTTTGTGAAGTAATCTTATCTTTGCGTTACTATTTATGCTGTATTGTGTGAAATTGAAACCATTCTTCATTCTGTGAATCCCGTTAATCTGAATGATTAATGCCCCATCATTGTCCTATATATCTTACAATCTATATTTGGGTCTCTATGGCTCCCCAGATAACGTCTTTACATTAATCCGTTTAAAATAATATTCCTTTTTGTTTAACAAATGTGAATTTAGCTGTAATGCAAGGATGTTAATGCATTCTGTAATTTATTTTTTTTCCTAATTTCCTAAGGAGCCAGGCACAATTTTCACATTGTTAGCTGTGTTCTCAAACGTGCCTTTATTACGTGTATTTAACATATCCCCACCCCCTCCAAACCTTTAAATGAAAACAGTACAATTTCTGAGAAAAATCACTGTTTACATTTTGCAATTTTCACACCTCTACTGGCTGTTAGACAGACACTAGGGGTTTCTAACTCATATAGATTCAATATAGTGACACCAAACTCTGGTTGTGTCCCCCCCCCATGCTTCCCTCTGAGAAACATTATACTGACAGATTGTGGCCCCAGGTGCCGTCAGTTCCTCTGTAGGAGAAGCATCTGACAAAAGTAATAAGAATTGAGACCTTGTAGGAGTTGGGTCAGGGTACAATGAGGGGTCTGTCCACATGATAGATTATAGGGAAATTTAAAAGGGGGACTGTCACGTAATTGTTTTTTAATATTATGTCTACTTATACTTATCTCTATATTTAACAAAACATGTTTTGCAAATGGGCACCTCCATCTTAATTCTCTGTCAATCATGCTGTAAGGTCAGCATAAAGAATATTAAACTGAAACAATGTTTCTAAATATATAAATTAACATTAGCAGGGTTATATATACACACACACACACACACATTTTATTCACTAATGTGAGAATTCAAAGTGATTTTTTTTCATATTTAAGAGCAAAATAACCAAAATATAAAAAGTCTGAAAGTCAGCTATGCTTTTAAAAAGGCTATTCTGGTCTTACATTTTAAATTCACTTTGAATTCTCACTTAAAGGGACACTATAGTCACCTGAACAACTTTAGCTTAATGAAGCAGTTTTGGTGTATAGAACATGCCCCTGCAGCCTCACTGTTCAATCCTCTGACATTTAGGAGTTAAATCCCATTGTTTATGAACCCTAGTCACACCTCACTGCATGTGACTTGCACAGCCTTCCATAAACACTTCCTGTAAAGAGAGCCCTATTTAGGCTTTCTTTATTGCAAGTTCTGTTTAATTAAGATTTTCTTATCCCCTGCTATGTTAATAGCTTGCTAGACCCTGCAAGAGCCTCCTGTATGTGATTAAAGTTCAATTTAGAGATTGAGATACAATTATTTAAGGTAAATTACATCTGTTTGAAAGTGAAACCAGTTTTTTTTTTTTTTCTTTTTAAATTCTTTATTTTTCGTTGTGCATGGGTTAACAAATCTTCCCGCGTCGTCGCAATAAACAAATGCAGGAATAGGCATTTTTCACAATTAAACATATGACATAAGGCGTTAAACATACAAGACTATTGCTCTGTTCCATTACGCTGCGTTGGCACATTTTTGTGGTTTTTGTTTTTGCAGGTGATGCATTCGACAGCATTACAGGGTACAAGATATGGTTATGTCCTTTGGCACACGTGAATATCCAATAACGCTTCCTGTATATAGATTGCTAATACCTGCTTTTTGTATTTTAATCTGTACATAACAAATAAACGGTTAGTCATGTCTCAAGGCTCGGGCATTCCTGTCCATTTTCGTCTAGATGTGAGCCCTTGTAAGGGGTTCACAGTCGGTTGCAGTTGGGTCTAAGTGACCCTTTTATTAGCTTATTGTGCTATCAGTTGTCTATGGACACGCGTGGCATGGTCTGTTCTCATATATGCGGTTCCCACACCTTTAGCAGCGCTATGGGAGATAAGTATATAGGGTGTCCATTAGTGGAGTTAGCGTGTGCTTTCGAGGGTAGGTTATGTTATGTCCCTAACCCTAGGGGACGTCTGGGGGGGAGGGGGGTGAGTGTAGTCTAGTCGGTGGCTAGCAGTCGTTAGGCAGGTCCTCTCTAGGAGAGCAACTATCTAGGTGCACAGATATCTCTGGGGCTTCAGTCCGATCATTATGTGAACTTTTTCAGTTACCGGGTGGAAACAATATTGAAAGCATAATATAAAATACGAAACAATAAAACCATAGTGTTGCAACTTAAGAGAAGGTGGTACTTTAAGTCCCATCACCCTGACCGTTCCGTGGCGTGAACGGGGTAATGTTATCCATGTCCCAAGTCCTGTTAGTGTCTCTGGCACTCTGCTCTTGCGTGGTGTCATCGATGCCCACTGCTGCTAGGAAGGTGGTGGCTTCCGCCACGTCGGTTGCCTTCAACTGTGTGCCGTTGAGATATACCGTAAGGGATCTGGGTGTGGACCATCTTGTAGTTTTCGCGTGATGGGTTGCATCGTTTTCCTCCATGTCAGTGTGGAACGATGAAGATCTTGGAAAAACGAGATCTTGTGAGTCTCACAGTCCATTGGTGTCTTGTTGTATGTTGCTTTCAATAGGGCATGCTTGTCTTGTCTCGTCCCACAGCATAAGATTATGTCCCTTGGAGCTGTATTTGGCGCCCTGGGGGACCTTGCGTGAATTGTTTGGCCTGTTTCGCAGGGAGTAGTTTGAACACCATTCTCCTTATGAAGTGTGGTAATTCTTCAGGGGTGACTGTTTCTGCAACACCTCGTATCTTGATATTTTTCTGGCGTACTCTTTCGTCTATAGCGTCTATTCTCAGCGAGGTTTCCGTGTGGGACCCCTGTAGCTGTTTAACTGTGTCTGTTAATGCCGTTAGCTGCTGTTGTAGGTCAGCCACAGCTATGTCTGCCGCGAATAGTTGTTGGATGCGGTTAAAAAGGTTGTCGATGTCCTGCTTAGTTGCAGGGTCCTGGCTATTCGAGGTTTGCGTTGTCTGGAGCCCTGTTGGAGGTGGCCCTTGTGTGGTGTTACTCACCCCTCCTGTCTCTTTAAGGTCCTGGGCCCCTGTTTCAGTCTGATCCTGCTCCCTGGGCCTTGGTGTGCGTTGTAGCAGCACTCCAATGTCCTGCATGTCTTGTGAGGTGGCCGCTTGGGATTTGTGGGACTTTTTGCCCATTGCTTCGGATCGTTGGACCTGTTTTTGTAGGGGTTCTGGAGTGAGCCAGTCTAGGTCCCACCAGGCTTCGGAGGTTTGCGGAGCGATTTTCAGGCCGGCCGTGTGGTAGGCCTTGGGTTTGGGAGAAATCCCCGGTTTTGGATGCCGGGGTCGAGGAGCCCCAGAGATGGCGTCTGTGCTGGTCGCCTGTCAAGCCCCGCCCCCCGAAACCAGTTTTTTTTTCATGCATGCTCTGTCAATCATAGCCAGGGGAGGTGTGGCTAGGGCTGCATAAACAGAAACAAAGTGATTTAACTCCTAAATGACAGTGAATTGAGCAGTGAAATTGCATGGGAATGATCTATACACTAAAACTGCTTTATTTAGCTAAAGTAATTTAGGTGACTACAGTGTTCCTTTAAGTAAATAGCATTGCTAATTAAAATATATCAGTGACTCTCATACACACAAATCACACTCTTATATAATAATCCAGCCACTCTCACTGACATCCATAGAATAAGACAGTCGCTCATTCATAGATAGACACATACATTCATACATAAAAACACAGGCTTATAGATATATACAAGCATTCATAATGAATGAGTGTCCATCCAACTGAATTTATCAAGATGCTGGAGGTTTAAGACCCTCATTATTTCCTAATAACCTATGGATGGGAACCTCATATCGACACAGAGCAATTATTAAAAACTATCCACCCATGCTAACAATCAAACAAAGTCTGTTGGCCACTGTGATACTCCGCTTTTATATAATTCTAAACACACTCTGTATTCTCAGTTTATAGCTGGTGTATTAGAGAGCCAAATTATCAAAGGATACATTTTTTATTTTTTTTAAATTATTATTATACTAACTTAATTGTTCTAGTGTGAATATTGCTACATATTTCAGTGAAGGATTTAGTGGGGATTTTTTTAGTTTTTTTTTTTTTAGAAATGACAAGGAATATAGTGTAGTTATCCAAGGAACAGGGGGGCGGGGGGGGGGGAGGGGGGGAGGCTGTAGTTGAAGGTGAAGCTTTTGTTTTGTAACATAAGTAAGATCCCCATCTCTGTTCCCAACACGAAAACTCAATAGCTTAATGATATGTTCCTTTGACCGCTGGGAATTCCACACCCAAACTGTGTCTAATTTTTGAAATTTCGTGATATGTGACAGGCTTGAACAAGCTGATGACAAGCGAAATGTGATGTTTCAAGAGGTGAATTTCGATACATTGTGAACAAGAGATCAAGGTGTAGTTACCAAACGCTTGGGTTGGACACCTTCTCAGCTGCACAGGGTTCATGATTTGTGTGTGTTTAGAGGAATGACGATGGAATGAAGATGGATGTCAACATGAGGCTGAACAGGTGGTAATGTAATAGCTGAAATACTTTATTTTGACATGGATATAATTCTTCAAGAGTACCATTTATAATTTATATGGATGTAACAAGTACCTGATGGCAGAATTGTATACACCAAGCCTCTAACTGCTTGAAAACCATTTCTTTAAAGCGACACTGTAATGGCCAAATCCAGTTTTTTTTAACCCCCCCCCCTCCCGACTCCACTACATCTAATTGTCCCCTTAGTCAGCCCCAAATGCCCCTAAACCCCCCATGTTACCTATTTTTTTATCTTTATTTTGTGCCCCGATCTGGGTCCTGGGCGCCACCATCTTTGTGTGGGTAGATGAAGTCCCCGTGGGACATGTCATCTGCCCACACTAGATAGCGCTGTTAAATTTCCACGCATGCCCAGTTAAACACTTGGGCATTCGAACAGAAATTTAATCTATTCATTCATTAGAAAGACTAATAAATGAATAGAAATTTCAAACGAATGAACGAATACCTCTCCGTTCGTTCATTTGGTTTATTACAAGGAGGGAGCTACCGACGCGCAGCTCCCTCCTTGTAATATGTAAAAATAGAAGCGACAGGGAGCAGTGCTCCCCGCCACTTCCTAAGCCCCCCCATGTCTTCCCTCACTCGATGGGGTCAATATGACCCCAATAATAGCATAAGGGAGATTAAAATCTCCCAAATGCCCCTGCTCGCTATGCTTCAAGTAGGGACATGTCTACTAAACAGTTAACAACCAGCGGCTGCTCACTGTTGTAAAAAATAAATAAATAAAGCCCCTCCCCCCCCTAACAAATGGCCCCATATTGGGGCATCTATTAACCAACCGTTGGGGCTTTTCAAGTAAATGGGGGACATAGCGTCCCCCTTGGCCCCCAACCATGAGCGGTGGGTGGGGGCCTAAATGAAAATGGGGGGAACCTATTGTCCTCCCACCTGGCCCTCACCCATGGGCGGCGGATGGGGGCCCTAAATTACAATAAGGGGGAGGAGTAGGACAATAGGTCCCCCATCCTTATTGTAATTTAGAGCCCCCACCCACCTCTCAGGGGTGAAGGACAATAGGTCCCCCCCATATTCATTTAGGGCCCCCACCCTATGTCCCCTCGCGACACACAGGTGAGAGCGCGGGTCCCCCCCAGTCTAGTTAAGAGATGCCCCACCATGGGGCCATTTATTTGGGGGATTTATTTTAGGCTGCTCACTGTTTACTAGACATGCCCCTACTCGTGACATAGAGTATAGGGGCAGATTACTTACGAATAGTGATGTTGTGAACCGTTCGCGAACTTGCCGCGAACGGTTCGTGGTGAACTCCGGTCAGCTGACACATCCCTGCCAATCTCCGGCAGACCCTCCCAACTCCTGGACAGCATCCATGTTGAAGCTGCCTTCAACATGGATGCTGTCCAGGAAGTAGGAGGGTCTGGGAGGGAGGGTCTGCCGGAGATTGGCAGGGATGTGTCAGCTGACCGGAGTTCGCGGCGAACCGTTCGCAGCAAGTTCGCGAACGGTTCGCGACATCACTATTCGTAAGTAATCTGCCCCTATACTCTATGTCACGAGTGGACGAACTGCTCTCATTCTGTTAGGACAAAATTTGGTAGTTTTGCCGGTGTTCGGGAATATGGAAAGGAGGCATCGCGAGAACATGGAGGAAAGGTGAGAATTGTGGGAAAATTTTGCTGACCACAGGAAATGGAGCTCACTTTGCTCCTTTGCTGGTCAGTGATGGTCAAGCACAGGAAACCTCCATAAGACAAAGTAGTCCCTACTAGAAAACTAGAGCAGACCGGAAGAAATAAAAAAACAGATCCTGACCGAGGAAGAGAAGAGGAATCGATTAAAGAAAGGTAAGTTCGGTATGACAGTCCCACTTTAAAGCAGCACTGTCATCTGTTTTTTTTTTTTTTTTTACCCCTCTCCCGACTCTTTTATTGGCCCCCTAGTCACTCCCAAAGGCTTCGAGATCCCCCATTTCACCTTTCTTTACTGCCTTATATATTCTTCAGATCTATTTCCTAAGCGCTGCTATCTTCCTGGAAATGACGATTACCACATCACCTTCATCTGCCCACACTAGCTCACGTGATCAAATTCCAGCTCATACCCACTTCACAGGACATACGGAAAGGGTGAAAGCAGGCAACGTGAAAATATGGAGGAAAGGTGAGTGTTCTGAGAAAGCTTTGTTAGACACAGGAAGTGGATTATACCTAAAAGGACACTATAGTCACCAGAACAACTACAGTTTAATGTAGTTCTTCTTGTGTCTACTGCCTGTCCCTGCAGGCCTTTTAATGTAAACACTGCCTTTTAATGTAAACGCTACTTTAAGTACTAAAAATGTATTTAATCACCAAGAGTTAACATAAAGTCTCTCCATTTTGGGGGTTGCACGTTACTACTGTGCCATTATGAGTACTTGTATGACGGATGCTCCCAGTATGTGAGGTTTGCAGAAACTGAGAAATCCACTTAAAATCTGTGTGTTCCAAGTAAGAAAAAAAGTGAACCACTCAAATTCCTAACAAATCTTGTAGGATGTATTGTGGCTGCATGGCAATAGTGTGTGGGAGCTGTAGTTTAGCCGTTTGCTTTCTACAGAATAATGTGGTCACTTGAAGTACAATTCCCAGAAGCCACTGCTATGCAGATCTCACTGTAGAACCTGCAAAGCCTGAGAAAACAAACCATAGTAGTGCAAAATGTGCCTAGTGTTAAGATCACTTTTCCCTCTAACATGTAATTGTCCGTGTAACAATATATGTCCATTCCTCCTTAATTATAATCTGACATTAAATCTACTTTTTATTTTGTAGTGTGTATTGGATGGCGATATAACAAATATATTTCACAGTCAATAGAAAAACTCTCGGGTCGCTGACTCTTACAGGCATTAAACAATAGAGATAAAAACAGGATCTACTTAATATTTTCTTATTAAGAAAAGAAAACAATATAGGAGATACGATCTATACTGCAATATACTATATATAGTGCTCTAACATCACGTTACACATAAGGCCAGAGACATCAAACTCCGGCCAGACAAATGTACTTAGATTATACCCAGAATTATTTACCACACTCTGGAAGAGAATCATAGGAGTTGGTAGTCCAGCATAAGTTGTCTGTTGTACAGCAGTCTGACATCCCTGTATTTAAATTTAAAGCAATGGATGAACTCCGATTCCAAATCATATCGGTCCAGATATAGAAAACAGACCATACGAGCTAATGTTATACATCAGCTCACAAGAATTCCATCATCACATGTGCTATAATGAGAATTGTGTTTAAACAGCTTTCAGTAGCATACAATAACATTATGGCAAATATAGACGTCTTGCCTATTTGCATATAAGACAAATTCTGACAGCCTATTTTTAAAATAAAATGTCCATTGTATTCTCAGGAAAAAAACATTTTCATCTGTTTTTGGCTATTCCTCGTTCTATGCCCCCATATAGCACATCTCTGCTGTATCCGAAAAATACTTTTAACTGATAAGGTTTTTTGATTAAATACCTTAATTTGTATAATGGTGTCAGAAATGAATTCATATATTTATTGTCAGCCTGCAATGCTCAACCCAGAGAAGCAAAGTTAAATGACACAGCAATGCAGCAGTACACAAAC